CGTGTTTCTAAGTAAAATTTTTACTTAAAATTATTTGAAATGTTTGTTAATATAATTTGTAAATAATAATTATACGTCGTAAAGGTACAAAATTTACAGCTTTCAAATTTACTGTAAGCATTAAGGACTTTAGAGGTTGATGAAAGAGTCATAATTAAATGAAGATCTCGCGCTAATTTACAATTTTTTAATTTAAAATTATAATGACTGATGAACGTAAAGAATCGAGAAATATGCCAAAGACATGATTATTATTTTAACAAGTCGAAATAATTCTATTGATTTTATTTCTTTTATGTTTACGTAAAGAACAGTTCGTCAAAATAAAAGCGAAATTCTTATTGGAGAGAAATTTAAGTGTGTCAATTATATATTTATTTATATGTTTTTTTTTATTCGTTAATTATTTTCCCCGTATTTAAGAATAATTGTCAGATAAAAAATTATTTGGTTAGGAAGAGGATTCATGCTATTTAGTCATATTTATGCCTGGGAGTTCGCGACGGAACCACGCCTTTGAAGGGTGGTGTCTTTTTGTTGAAAATTCTAGAGTTATTATCTTCTAGATTGCTGTTGATTGAAATTTCTCCCACGCTAATCTCCCTTCTTTCCATCTATCAATACTGCTGACGCACAGACTCCATCTAAATAATTCATTAATCGGGAGTTGGAGTCTTGGATGAGAACCAGTCCAATGCTCTTATGCAAATCAGTCAAACAGACGAAACTGATTAGCTGTTAAATATCTGACGGAAACTGAATTGGCTCCATATATTATTGAATATCTCATAGAAATTCAATTGTATAATATTAAGCAAATTAAACGATCTTTTAATCATTTAATATAGAATTATATGCGAATGTGATCAATTCGACGCGAATTGAATTATTCACTAATAAGAAATCTCTAGTTTCTTTTTTAGTTATAAATATTATTCATGAAAATTGAAACTGTTTCTCTTTTATTAAATATTGTCTGAAATTTATTCACATAATCGTGATTATAAAATTATTGCTATTAGCTAAATTCATCTAAAAGAGTTATAAGTTTGATACGGAGAATTAGAGCATTTCAGTAAGATTAAAAGATACATTTTATGCTTCATATTCAAATATATAGGTCTTTTATTGTACTAAATGCTCTGAAATTTGTAATAATAAATGTTCTAAATGAAATTCTGCTATATAATCTCTATCCATAGAATGATTATTATTTATGGAATATATCAGGCACGTTCGCAGCATTTTTAAAAGGGTGGGGTTTTAAAAAACACATTATTTTTTCGTAGCGTAGTTTATTAATCTCTACAGTATAGATACGAGTGTATAGAGTAGAGTAAGAATACAGTAGATTAAGAACGAATGCAAAATAAGTTATTATTATTTTTTTAATGGGTCTTTCTGTTTTTTTGAGTCATAAGAGAGCCTTTTCATCAAACCAATCGTGGGTTCATTAGGCCTATGATCAGAAACGTGGCCCAACATATTCGGAATAGATTACTTCCGAAAAATATCTGGGATTTTTTCGATCCGATCTGATTAGTTTTCGGGTCTCAGGGTGGTGACTAACACTTTAACAACTCGGCAATCTTATCTTCTATAAATATATGTTACATACAATTTACTGTTTTATTAACATATTCTTCTCATATGAGGAGGTCAAACTCATAAAACTTCCCGTTTGCACAGCCTTGAAATATAGATCTGTTCAAAACGCGACCTTAAAAAAAACGGAAACCTGCTTAAACGGGACAAATTCTTCGAAAGTTGCGAGTTTTTCTGTTTAAAACCAGTACAAAAAGGAAACGGGCCAAACCAGAAAAAGTATTCGGTACCGTGCGAGTCCGGTTTACACAGGTTTCACTGTACTGTATATATTTCAAAGATGTTACAAGGCCGTGCGTCTGTGTATATGTATCCAAGCGGTATAAGATTTAATGTGTTCTGGCACATTTGTCTTATTCTAGTACAACTTTCTCTCTTTTTGAGAAAGTAATTGAATAACTCGGAGTTTATAATAAACGTTGTAAAATACCTTTATTGCAATCGTAGAAAATCGAAAACACTAACAAAGTAATTTCTTTTTTTGCGACGATTTACACTCGATTGTTTATAGAAAAGGACTATTACTTCTGCAGTTGTGACTAAGTCATCGTTCTCTTTCTCTCTCTTTATCGCTGAAAATATCGCCTTTCAATATCCATTTTCCAAGTATGTGACACGAATTGTTTGTTTTCATTTCGGTTCAATGAAATTTCGACATAAAGACTAACTGAGCTTAGAATGATGACATCTCTTTCTTCTTGTGTAGTAGCCTTTGTTCTTTGTATGTATGTCAATTGTTTAATCAGGAACGAGTAATCACTAAATGGACAGAACTGCTCCGAAGCTCTCTCTCTCTCATAACTTAATTTACATCGAATAATGTAACATACCGCATACGGACAAGACAGACAATTCCGAGTGTTGATTTCTATTCTAATTTGTTAAAAGCAATTGTAACTATTTCAAATTTTAATTATTAGAAAAATGAGAATTTATAAAATTTCTATCGTTACATTCAAATTCATGCAATTCATAAGCATAAATATTTTAACGATTATATTTATGGATGATGTCTTTTTAAATTAAAAAAAAACATGAAATTTTAAATATAATTAAATTTTTTAAAATTAATTATAAGCAATATACTAAATTTTATGTCGAGATCTTAGGCGTGATCCAATGAAACTTTTTGCTCTAATAAGAATATTTTTATATTAAATTTACCACTAAATGTTAAGCTAATTATATTTTCCGTCATTCTCTTATCATTAACTTTTTTTTTTAAGAATCTTTCTAATTGAAAATTTCTGGAAACGTAATTGTCATTTAAAACAGGACGAAGTAAGATATGTTTAATTAATTCGTATTTGTTTCTATAAACAGTTGAATGACCTCATATTGGTAAAATTGTATAAAGTAATTAAAGATGAAAATTTTGTACAAAGGGTTTAAATGGTTTGCTTGTTCGAGCATCTCCTTTAGATAGTACGCGGGCACATCACATTTACAAGGCGATGGCCACGCGACAGCTGGCGACATAATGCTAAGAGATAGCACAGATGTTGGCAAACAAAGATCTAGTCCGAACATGATTCGAATCCATCCCGTAATTCTAATCGCATCTTAATATACTTCCCTGTTTAATCATTAATTCATGATGCTATGATATTGAATATTTCAAGCAAAAATAAATAAATAAAAATAAAAATTTTATTCAAGGTCTTTTCATTTCTGAATGAAATTCTTCAAGTAAAAAAACTGGAATAATTTTTCATATATATATATATTTATATATTACCTAATATACTTAAGTTATTTTTCCATTCCGAGTTTTTTTCTTTTCTTTTTTTTTATTAGATTTAAATTCCCAGACTAAAATAAATTTGAAGAAGAAGAAGAAAGGAGGGAAAAATGTAAAGAGAATGTCGAGAGAAGTTTTTATTAAGAAAAGCAGCAAGTTCAAAAATTATTTAAATTAAATTCTCATTAAAACAAAAATTTTCCATTTAATTGTTTTCGTTTTTTGTGACGTCCATCGCTGATTTCTTAATGACGATCCGTAAAGGTAGATTTATTGCAGCCGGTTAGTGTTATATTTTATAGAAATAATTACATTTTTTTTTTGTCCCGTTATCCCTTATAATATTTTATTTTTATGTAGTTTGGATCTCGTTTATCATTTCTGCTTAGTCGTCCTTGGTCTTGATATTGAGAATAACACGATTCAAAAACCTATTGTGCTTTTTCGTTGGCAAAATTAAATGAAAAAAAAAATTGTATTTTTTTTATTTTTCATTTTTCTTTAGTTTCCTAGCGACACACGAGAGAAGATCGAGCGCCTTCATGGTCCAATTGTTGCGGATTAAATTAAAAAGAGACCATACATAATTAACAATTTTTCAGGATGAGTGATGTCGTCGACACTTATTTGTACAAATGTCTGCAACTTGTGGATAAGAATGCAGCAGCTTTGATTGATCTGAAGATACCGCCATTATGACGATGCATCTCTTCTCTCTTTTTTGTTTCTAAATATCGATGTCGATAATGGCTTCTGATACTATCCAAATGGGGTTTATCTAACATCTTTAAATTATCCTGGACTCTTGTAAGCTAGAAAGAAAATGAAATAAGCAAAATATATTTATATATAAATCATTAATCACTGGTAAGAATCGTAGTGAAAAGTATCTGGAAAAGTAATCAGAAGGAGTGAAAGCCGATATTTGCAATAAATGAATATTATTCTAAAGGCAATCTTCTACTCGAATCCTTCGATGGCAATGCCAAAAGGACAATATTTATTTAATGGCATTGGCTTTGAGTCGCCGGCAGTTTATTCTAATGCTATAGTTTGCATTCTGTTCGTTTTTGGACGGAATCTTCCCGATAATAAGTTTTAGCTTTAATGATCTCTTGTCGTTATCGTATTCTCTGTTTGCGTGTTTGTNATTTTTCATATATATATATATTTATATATTACCTAATATACTTAAGTTATTTTTCCATTCCGAGTTTTTTTCTTTTCTTTTTTTTTATTAGATTTAAATTCCCAGACTAAAATAAATTTGAAGAAGAAGAAGAAAGGAGGGAAAAATGTAAAGAGAATGTCGAGAGAAGTTTTTATTAAGAAAAGCAGCAAGTTCAAAAATTATTTAAATTAAATTCTCATTAAAACAAAAATTTTCCATTTAATTGTTTTCGTTTTTTGTGACGTCCATCGCTGATTTCTTAATGACGATCCGTAAAGGTAGATTTATTGCAGCCGGTTAGTGTTATATTTTATAGAAATAATTACATTTTTTTTTTGTCCCGTTATCCCTTATAATATTTTATTTTTATGTAGTTTGGATCTCGTTTATCATTTCTGCTTAGTCGTCCTTGGTCTTGATATTGAGAATAACACGATTCAAAAACCTATTGTGCTTTTTCGTTGGCAAAATTAAATGAAAAAAAAAATTGTATTTTTTTTATTTTTCATTTTTCTTTAGTTTCCTAGCGACACACGAGAGAAGATCGAGCGCCTTCATGGTCCAATTGTTGCGGATTAAATTAAAAAGAGACCATACATAATTAACAATTTTTCAGGATGAGTGATGTCGTCGACACTTATTTGTACAAATGTCTGCAACTTGTGGATAAGAATGCAGCAGCTTTGATTGATCTGAAGATACCGCCATTATGACGATGCATCTCTTCTCTCTTTTTTGTTTCTAAATATCGATGTCGATAATGGCTTCTGATACTATCCAAATGGGGTTTATCTAACATCTTTAAATTATCCTGGACTCTTGTAAGCTAGAAAGAAAATGAAATAAGCAAAATATATTTATATATAAATCATTAATCACTGGTAAGAATCGTAGTGAAAAGTATCTGGAAAAGTAATCAGAAGGAGTGAAAGCCGATATTTGCAATAAATGAATATTATTCTAAAGGCAATCTTCTACTCGAATCCTTCGATGGCAATGCCAAAAGGACAATATTTATTTAATGGCATTGGCTTTGAGTCGCCGGCAGTTTATTCTAATGCTATAGTTTGCATTCTGTTCGTTTTTGGACGGAATCTTCCCGATAATAAGTTTTAGCTTTAATGATCTCTTGTCGTTATCGTATTCTCTGTTTGCGTGTTTGTTCACACGAAACTAAACATGGAATTGCCCATCAAAATTTACAGGTTCAATAATAACCCTATCATCTACGTTTGCAGAAATCTCCGAATCTTTACAGTAATTGTATTCTTTCATTTCCTGCTTTCATTCTATGTGTATTTAGGATAATGTTTTTAATTGAAATCGCGGTTTTACTATTTCTGCAAATGCAGCTAAAAGAATTTAAAGCTGCATCCGCAGTAAACAAGAAAATTATTTTCTCGTTAATAATTTCAACTAATTAATTACATTTATCTCTCTGTTTTAATTCAATTTCTTTTCTCAATTTCAGAATTATACTGTATTAGCTTTATATTACTGTACCTGTAAATTTAATTTAAATGGAAATATTTATATATGCATTTGAATTTGAAATGGGATTTTTCACCATAGCTCTAATAATAACAACAATTAATTTTATTATTATTATTATTATTATTATTAACTAGTAGAAAATAAAATAGAAATAAATAATGTTTTGAAAGTTAGAACGTGGGAAAATAGGCTTATATTAATGGAAATTTTTTTAAAAAATGTTTAATAGTTATACGTTTAATTTATATGTAACGAATTTATTAAAAAAATATATATATATATATTAATTCAACAAATAATAAGTTGGTGAAGCCATTGTTCTATTTACAAAGTAAATTTGCAATAACAAATATGTATATTAACCATATAGGTGTATAACATTTGTTTCGTGACACCTACCCACATGACGGTATTCTCGAAGCCTACACATAAAATATATACATGTATATATAGAAAGCGTTTAATTCCTAAATCGAATGAAAAAATAAATCCCATTACAATAGCTTTAGCATTATTTTTCTTTATTTGTAATCTGCATACCATTCTTTTAGTAAGACAGCGGTTGAACTTCGTTCAGACTTGTAAATATATTTGAGTATGCACTGGTTTACTTTCTTTGAATTTCAATTATTGCTTTGCCAAATGTTTTGAATATTAGTCTTTTTTTGGTTTTTACGCAATTTTGGTTTTTCTGAGTCATGTTTATTTGCTAGAATCCTCTGCTTTGTTCGAAAAATAGGTTTGTAGAGCAATGCGCTAAATATAACAAGAAAATGAAATTAATATTACGTTTGGTAAATGCGTAAAAGGGTTAAATTTAATTTTGAGTCAGAAGCGAGATAAATAAATTTGTGTCATTCATTAATATTTATTTTATTTCTTATCGCGGACGGAATTGAGATTTAATAATTAAAGATGAATTGGAATAAATTCGTTTAGTAAAATAGAAATTTACCTCTTCCAATCTTCTTGTCCCGGTCTAACTGGACAAAGAAAGTTGTACTCTTCCTCTTTATAAATTTCAACAATTTACTTCGCTAAATTTCTCGTGGGAATTCTACAAGTTGCGCGAGGTCACGCAAAGGTTACAATGTATAGAAACCACTGTTTTTCGAAAACTAAGCCTGTCACTACTACTTCCAGATCGTGACAGAAAAACTAAAAGACATTAAAAGTTTTTTGAGATTAAACTTAATCTGATTATTTTAACTCCTCTTCTTATAGAGCACTGTCTAAGTTCTACGCGTTATCAAAATATTCAATTAATATAAATCTATTTTTAAATATACCAAGTTTTACTTTTATATAAATTCTTCTCTCGTCTATTTCTCTGTACTTTTACTGAATATATTAATAATTTATTTTCAATGATAAAAATATATACATATATATATAAAATTATTTTTATACTTTAGAAGTTTTTTCTTTTACATTTTATGGTTATATTTTAATAATAATATATGCAGAAGCTGAAGTAATGTTATGAGTAATGACGACTGACAAAACATTTCTTTGAACAAATATTTGCACGATTGTTTTTTCGACGGGACAATTTTTTCTTTAAATAATGAAAATAGTCAATTTATTCTTAAGGATTATTATAATTTCTGAAATAACTTTTTCATTTGTGAAATTTTGCAGATGCAGAAAATATTGCTAAAATTGTATTTTTATAACTTTCTCATTTACTGAATGAATTGATGAATAATGGAAGAGGAATTTCTTATATTTAATTTTCTTAATTATTATATAACAAAGTGAAGGAAACAGCGATTGAGTATTCTGTCAACTCCACAAGTAACAAAAATATTGTAGATATGTTCGTACAACATAACGAGTACGGCGCAAGATAAATCATTCTATTCTTTTTATGCATAAGTGATATCGAAAACTCGGTTGCAGTCTCTTTTGAATCCGAAATGAATAACATCCAACCAGACAGGAAAAGTATAAAAATTCCGTTATTAAATAAGACAATAATTATAAATAATAATTATTTCTTAAATTATTTAAATACATTTTGTTAAACTTAAGTCGCTAATTGCAAAAATCCAACAACGAGTTGCTTAACTTTTCCGGAAATATTTAAGATTTTGGTGGCACCGTCTGTTATGATATTTTATTTTTAAAAAACTTTTTATATTATTTAATTATTATAAAATGACAAGAAGCTTAATTTTGAGCGTAGGGATAGGTTTTATAGAAAATTATAAATGCTAATAACGAGTAAAATTGTCATGAAGTCCGACCCTACTCGAGATACGACAAACGTTCCCCGTTTATCTTCGACCTTTAACCACCAAAATTTAATAACATCAACCCACCTAATAAACAAACCTCCTTGAAAAATTTCAGAAATTTTCGACAAAAAGCATAGGAGTTATTAAGCTTCAAATAGGGTAAAGAAAATCGTGCCCCCATACACACGTATTATCATCCATATAGATAAAAATCCCTAAATTTTTTTGTATTTTTCGACGTTTGCAGATCTCCTGAGTCCAAAAATGTAAAAATCTTGGTGGTCATTTTTTGACCGATTACCATACTTTCCCTCTGTTATGTATAACAGAGCCGGAAAAGTAAAANTTTAATTTATATGTAACGAATTTATTAAAAAAATATATATATATATATTAATTCAACAAATAATAAGTTGGTGAAGCCATTGTTCTATTTACAAAGTAAATTTGCAATAACAAATATGTATATTAACCATATAGGTGTATAACATTTGTTTCGTGACACCTACCCACATGACGGTATTCTCGAAGCCTACACATAAAATATATACATGTATATATAGAAAGCGTTTAATTCCTAAATCGAATGAAAAAATAAATCCCATTACAATAGCTTTAGCATTATTTTTCTTTATTTGTAATCTGCATACCATTCTTTTAGTAAGACAGCGGTTGAACTTCGTTCAGACTTGTAAATATATTTGAGTATGCACTGGTTTACTTTCTTTGAATTTCAATTATTGCTTTGCCAAATGTTTTGAATATTAGTCTTTTTTTGGTTTTTACGCAATTTTGGTTTTTCTGAGTCATGTTTATTTGCTAGAATCCTCTGCTTTGTTCGAAAAATAGGTTTGTAGAGCAATGCGCTAAATATAACAAGAAAATGAAATTAATATTACGTTTGGTAAATGCGTAAAAGGGTTAAATTTAATTTTGAGTCAGAAGCGAGATAAATAAATTTGTGTCATTCATTAATATTTATTTTATTTCTTATCGCGGACGGAATTGAGATTTAATAATTAAAGATGAATTGGAATAAATTCGTTTAGTAAAATAGAAATTTACCTCTTCCAATCTTCTTGTCCCGGTCTAACTGGACAAAGAAAGTTGTACTCTTCCTCTTTATAAATTTCAACAATTTACTTCGCTAAATTTCTCGTGGGAATTCTACAAGTTGCGCGAGGTCACGCAAAGGTTACAATGTATAGAAACCACTGTTTTTCGAAAACTAAGCCTGTCACTACTACTTCCAGATCGTGACAGAAAAACTAAAAGACATTAAAAGTTTTTTGAGATTAAACTTAATCTGATTATTTTAACTCCTCTTCTTATAGAGCACTGTCTAAGTTCTACGCGTTATCAAAATATTCAATTAATATAAATCTATTTTTAAATATACCAAGTTTTACTTTTATATAAATTCTTCTCTCGTCTATTTCTCTGTACTTTTACTGAATATATTAATAATTTATTTTCAATGATAAAAATATATACATATATATATAAAATTATTTTTATACTTTAGAAGTTTTTTCTTTTACATTTTATGGTTATATTTTAATAATAATATATGCAGAAGCTGAAGTAATGTTATGAGTAATGACGACTGACAAAACATTTCTTTGAACAAATATTTGCACGATTGTTTTTTCGACGGGACAATTTTTTCTTTAAATAATGAAAATAGTCAATTTATTCTTAAGGATTATTATAATTTCTGAAATAACTTTTTCATTTGTGAAATTTTGCAGATGCAGAAAATATTGCTAAAATTGTATTTTTATAACTTTCTCATTTACTGAATGAATTGATGAATAATGGAAGAGGAATTTCTTATATTTAATTTTCTTAATTATTATATAACAAAGTGAAGGAAACAGCGATTGAGTATTCTGTCAACTCCACAAGTAACAAAAATATTGTAGATATGTTCGTACAACATAACGAGTACGGCGCAAGATAAATCATTCTATTCTTTTTATGCATAAGTGATATCGAAAACTCGGTTGCAGTCTCTTTTGAATCCGAAATGAATAACATCCAACCAGACAGGAAAAGTATAAAAATTCCGTTATTAAATAAGACAATAATTATAANACAGTACATTGAACTGTATTGCTTCATTCGTCCAATTCTCTTCCCATACAATTCTAATGAAGAATATAATTCGTGGACGAAACATTTAGATGGAATGAAGTTATTGAGGAAGTGAAAACCTTTCTCCGAAAACTACCTGAAGAGTTTTTACCAATAAGGAAGCTCTCGCTTTGAAAGCCATGTAAGAAAAACTAAGGCTATTGTAAGATGTAAACCTATTCATAAATCAGATAAGACTTATTTTCGATCATTTTTAGCCAAAAAATACTGAACAAAATTCTTATAGGTAGATAGAAAATACTTCAAAAAACATGTTAACAGTTATACGAGACACACGCTTTTAATGGAAACAGACTGAGTGTAACGGGATAAAAAAAAAGTTTTTTTCATAATTTCAGAATCAAAGAATCCTTACTTGTTCGCCATCATTGTCAACACATGCCTGGAATCTTCTCCAGGTGGTCTCTGCAGCTCGCGGGTATATTTTTTGTGTTAATATTTTTTAAAAAGCATTTCGCAATCATCAAATCGCAACCGCAATCATCTAATATGCGTTTTTATATCAGTAAAGTATATTTCGGGAAAATTTTATAACATATTTAACGTTTATTTCTAGTAATGCGAAATGTGATATACAGTGTATCAATTTTTGCGTACGCCTACATGAAATTGGCTCTATTTAGTCTATTTCATTTACGGGTGTGTGCTACAGATAGTAACATCACATACTAGCGAAGTTATAAATAAATGACAATCATTGTCAAAAGCGCCAAAATTTCACATAGATGGATAAATTTTTAAACTATTTACAAAAGAATCGCATTTTACAACGCATTTTACAACGCATTTTACAAAAGAATCGCATTTTACTCCTCGTGTTATGCAGATTGCATAACACGAGGAGTAAAATGCGATTCTTTTGTAAAATGAGTTGTAAAATGCGTTGTAAAATTTTTGTAACGTTTGTAAAATGTTAACGTTTTGTTAACGTTTGTAAAATGCAGATTGCGTGTTATGCATATTGCATAACACGCAATCTGCAAAAAAATTTCCAGGACCCTAGAGACAAATAAATAAATCAATAAATTTTTATTTAAATACATGCTCGCCACCTCAAATTCGAAGTGGTTTGCTCCTGCACTTCACACTTTCTTGCTAGCAGAGTTTATAAGCTATACAAAGAGAAAAATAAAAGTTATCGAAATAAACATTACATTCTATTAAAAGAACTAACCATTATAAAAACCTGCAAAACATCGGTAGAAGTACTAAACATGTGTATTGCATATTTTTGTAGGTTAGGAAGGGAAAAGGAAAAGTCAAAACATCTGCCATTTATTATATATCCCTTAAAGGAAGCAAATAAATAAAAAAAATGGGCCTACAAAAAAGACATATATAAACGTATAACAGTAGGCAATAATTGGAATTAATTGACTGTACTGTATTTAATCGTACATACATTAATTTTACAAGAATGTACTCAAAAGAGTTAATTATTTATTTTTATAAAACTTATATTATAAATACTTAATTTTCTATTTGATTTCTTGACACGAAGCAGCAGCACGCAATGGGTTATGAGGCCTTAAGTTTGTGCAAATGGCACAAACCTTGATTTACCCTGACCCAAAATAGTCCTAAATCGAAAAACGGACACACGGGAAAAAATAATAACGTTCTAGATTTATTCCTTAAAAAATTATGAGTCCAATCGAATTGTCACCTCAAGACAATGGGAGGCTGTCGTATCTCGTAGATATCCCTCAAATAATTAATATTATCTATTTAATTTTAATTTATATTCTTTATTACATATCTTCCTATTGTTACTATATTATATATTTATTATTATTATTTTAATATTTAAATAAAAACAATTGATGTTAAGAATGCAGTATATTTTTATAAAAATTAATTATTATTTTAAAAATATCTCTTTAATTTTAAGAAACTTGTACAATATAATTATAGTTATGTATAATTATAATACAGTTTATATATAAATTTATTAAATTATTTATTAATTTACGTGCGGAATATTAAATAAATGGTTTGTTGGGATAAGGCAACGCGATCCACCAAAACTCCTGCCTTCCGGGTGGACTTTATATCAGAAAGTATGGTAAACTGGACCTTATTTAGGTGTACGTGAAGAAATTCCGGGAAACTGCACGCGGCCAGCCCGTGAACTCGGGACCAGCTACGTGTTTACTGTTATGTGTTACCACTCGCCCATTGATGGGCTTAAATAGATGATAATCCTACATTTTTATTTAGTATGGGAATTTTTAAAACAGTAACGTATATATCCGACCTCTATTTTATGTATTACGGACGGACTTGACCCGTAATAGTGTCTGGTATAGGTGAGAGAGTTGAAAATCATCTCCGGCTCGAATACACGTGGAAATACGAGAATTTATTAGATTTAAACTCTAATCCCTGCCGGCGACGAATGGTTTGCCTTTAGTTAAACAAAAATTTTAATCTACGCTAGAAGTGTATCTAAATGATACATAATAATTATGATAATGCTTCTTTAAAGCAAATAATAGTTTTAATATTTAGTTTTGTCTTATATTTTATTGTAGGACGTACTAAAAATATTCAGTTTTGGCATAAATACAGTATATATATATACTGTATATTGCTAAACTATAATAAATCTAACTTAAATAATACTTATTGAATATTTATATTTTAAAATACTTTTCTAAAAGTACTGATTGATAAAAATAGAATATTTAAAAATAAATTGAAATCGTTGCTGTTTTTTATTATAGAAATAAAAATTAAATAAGCAAACAAGGCAGCAAACATTGAATAATAAACACGTTGTATCTATTTATAATTATGCAGGATGTAATTCGATACTTAAACCACGAATAAATGGATTTATTTTAATTTTATCTGCGATAAGAGATGTTAAATTAATTTTCTAAGAGACTCGATTATCGAAACTGTTGAATTACCATTTTTGGAGCATCGTTTTCATCGAATAACGAAAGTATCTGTTTCGTATTTGTTAGCATTAAATTTCGGATATTAAATGAGGGCTTATTTCTCGATGGTTTACTTAAGACTAGTGGTTTATTGAATTTATTCGTCCAACAAATCCACCGACATTTCTGCCTATCTAATATGCAATGTTTGAATTTTCCGTATTAAAACCCGACAAATCCATCTATTCTATTGGAGTTTGTGAGTGCCTACATGCTCTTGCCTACACTCAAGACGTGCTTATGATTCCGTGAAGTTATTTTTGTCGTGATGTAAAGAAAAAAAAATCTCGAATCATGTAAATTCCTGTGATATATTGGGCCTTGGACAAATATTATGAGATACTTCTTTAAAGTATAAACAGTTCTTTGGTAAATGTTTGTATTTATGAAATTTTAGTTATCTCTTATCGTAAATCATTTTAAAGTGTGTTTTATGTTGTTTTTTTCCACTTTTATTTATGAAAGATTTGCCCATCTCATTCTTCGCCGCCTTCGTTAAATAATCGCTCTATTATTATTAACGATGAGACTACGAACAGAACTTTATCATCTGAATTCATGTTGAATATTGATGTTGTGTTGAGAAGAGAATAGTGTAGTGTAAATGGATGTAGAGTACAAGTTGGATTTGTTGGATGAACGAGTAAGCTAACTGATGTACGATGAAGTAATTCGACTCTTCATATGAGACTAATGAAAACTATAAGTTAGCGATGTATATACGTTATATCCGGGATATTCTACTTGTATTTAAAATAATGAATATAGACATACACATTTAAAAAGTTTAGATACTGGCCTACTGTTAAACGTTATTAATAAACAGAGAAATAATTTTATTTTTTGATTTTATGTAAGTCTGTTCGCTTTCAAAATTCCGAGTTTAGATAAACAGAAATTCAAATATTCACTACATATTTAATTTCTTTCGACTGCCAGTTTTTGGGCTGCAATTTGAAAAAGTTGTAGACTTATAAATTCCCATTGTCGTCCGTCCGTCAGTCTGTCCTTCCTCCCTTAATCTCGAGACTAAATATGGAAAATATAAGGGTAGAATGTCCGATTATATAGGTACGATCTTCGGGATCTAGACCGAAAGTCACGTGAATTTAATTCAAAAATTTTTCCCTAAATGGAGTTACAGTAGAGCGTCGATTTTCCGAATCAATTGGGGACTGGGGTTGTTCGTATAACTGATATTTCGGATAACCGATTTATGTACGAAAAAATAGTTTAACGTATCCGATGTTAAAATTTTTATCCGTTGCGTGTTGCTTCGCGTTGAATTTTCGTCGATGTTAAGCCTAACAAAGACTATTGTATCGTTAAAAATTATTTTTTTATTTTGTACAAACAAAATAAATATATTGAAAAATATAAAAACAATAAAAAATTATACTTCAGATGTTAATTTAGTATCAAAAACGTAAAATATTTGAGTAGCCCAAGACATAGACAAAGATTGAAGCGCCACAGCACTGGCGAAAATTTAAATTTGCCGACTGGAATTTTTTCGGATGATTGACTTTCGGAAAATCGACGCTCTACAGTATATAGATGACCGGCATGACTCTATTGTTTTCAGGAAAAGTATGATGTACAGGGGGCAAGGCACTACGGAGAACACACTGTATGTACTGTACATTTTAAATTGAATAAATTAAAAATTACAATAATTAAAAATAATTTCTCGTTTCTATTTAGTAAAAAGTTATTAATGATATCGAAATTCTTATTTTTCAAGTAAACTTTGTAGGAAAAATTGTCAAATACTTTTATTAAGAGTAACGAGTCGAAACCAATTTTTTAATAACAGGAAAAAATCACAAGTACGAGTATATTTGCTATAAAATTAAAACGTATGGAAGATATTCAGTGTTAGAATTGAAATACAATACTATTAACCTATAAATATGAAAAAGATGGAACGACTATTGGATTTTGGAAGTCAATGTTTGTATATTTTTTATTTTGTAAGGTATTTTTCTCACGAACTAGTTTCTAATATGAACTTTTTATGATGTTTTGGAATTTATTTGTCAAATAAGGCTAGCTCCTGTTAGAATTGATGGGATTGAGAAATATAGGAAACTAACAGCAATAAAAAAATTATGTGAAAATGATACTTGGAAATTTTAACTTTGACATTATTTTGCCAATGTTTCGTTATCGTTTACACTTAATTTATGTTAAAACTTTTTGTCATTTCGTAATTAATTTAACATTTCCTGTCTCTATATTAATTACTTTACGAAGAATAAATTTTTTTCCAATTATAAAAGATCGTCAACAATAAAATTAGTTATTTGACTTTAAATGATTGCAACCCCATTACAGGCCAATAATAACAGTCCGAGTTAATTTGAACTAATTTATTTTATAATCAATTCATAGAAGAAACCCTCTTGGTGCTTAATTATTTGATAGACAGGCTATTATTATGCATACTTTCAATGTAAATATGAAAATGATTTGATATTCAGTTACACATAAAAAAAGGATTATGATATATTAACGCTATAATTTAATTTTTCTGTATAAAATATTTATTTATTTGATTAAAATATATTTAATATTTTGTTATCTCCCCGTATTTCGTTTATAAAATATTTTAAATTATACAAATTGAAATTTTTACAACTATAAAGTCCTAACACCTATAATTTAATCTAGCATTAACTTTTTATAAATTATTTATATTATAAGACCGAAACTTATATAATTATATTCATAAAATTTTCTATCAATGCATCTTCATCATAGTCAATAATGTTAATAACAATCATTTAAATCAAATGTAGTAATAGGTTCTACATTATACTATAATAATTGTTTAACGAGTCACATTAGAAATTATCGATTCATTTTAAGTTAGTATATTCTAATTTAGAACATTATTATTCTTATTCTTTTTATATTTTAATTGACTTGTTATATATTTTAAAAAAACACAAAACAAAACAAAAAATATATTGATGTAAAGAATTTTTAAGAATGTTTTTTTAAAACTCTAGTGTATTTTTTCATGAATATAATGATAATGTTTGCAGAGATTTCTCTTCTTTTTCCTCTATTTTTTCTTTCGTTGATTGTCTAAGATAGAATTCATTTTATTAGAATAATTTATAAAATAGTAACTGAAATTTTAATAATAGTTCGATAAATATTTCTAAAAAAGTTACTCTAAATTAGTATAATTTTATTCGTAACTAGTCGAAATCACTTTATGTTATAAAAATAAATAAACCTAAATTAAATTTTTAATAAATATTAAATAAATAA